TCATCCCTTAAATTCACCACGAGAAGTGTGGTCTAGCTGTGAGTAAACTCTCTTGCTTTTCAGTATAGAGATGAATATTTCCACAAAAGCCAAATTGATGAAACTCAACTATGCCATAGTGGGAAACAGTTATGTAAAATCTTGATACTTTAGAACATTGGCAATTAACAATTATAGTCATATGTCATGTTATGGTTTAGATCTGAAGTGTCCCCCAAAAGCTCATGTGGTAAAGCCTTGGTCCTGAGGCCATGGCACTGTTGGGAGGTGGTAGAACCTTTCATAGGTGTACACTGGTGGGTGGCAGAGTGGTGTAGGTGCAAGAGAGCTGCCTCAAAGAGAGAGACAGAAAGGGAAGGGGTACCACTATTCCCTTTAAAGGTACACCCCCAATGACCTAAGGCTTCCTATTAGACCCCACCACTCAAAGAGTCCACCATCTCTCAATAATGCATCATGCTGGGGAGCAAACCTTTAATACCTGGGCCTTTGGGGAACATTACAGTTCCAAACTACAGAAGTCATTATACAGCACTTGATTATAATTATAAAGACTTACAGCAACACAGAAAACATGTTCCATAAACAAACAAAAAATACGAACTACAAACCAACACACCTATAATAACTATGCATTTGTGAGTTTAATGGATTTGATAGGAGCATGTATATATTAAAAATGAAAACTTGTAGAATGCTGGATGAATATCCTTTTTTCCCAAAATTTCTTTATCTACTTTATCTATAACATTGAATAATAATATGTAATAGGAAATCAAAGGGCATGGGAGAAATAAACCATTTCGCTCTCTTAACATTTATGTCTGAAATGAACCATTAACTTGAAGAAGACCTATTTAAAGCATAGATGAGAAAGATCTTGAGAATATACTATATGAAATTTCATCTTTGCTGTTTGCCCATTTCCCATAATTAAAAGGGCCTAGTTAATTTCAAAACTCATTTGTAGACTTTCATACCAAGTAGTGAAAAGAATAGCATCAACTACTGACAATAATATGAATAGTATGCATTTTCTCATAAGCATTCATTTAAATTTACTATTTATTATTTTCCCCAATCAGATACTTGTGGATTTTTAATTTTTTCTTTTCTAATTTTTGTCTAAATTTCTCAAGAAAATATTAAATTATATTTTAAAAGCTGCATTTGGGAATATTTGTAGCAATTTTGACATAGTGTGAAATGTGCCCACCTCCCAAATTTAGATGTGGTGTGAAATGCTCCCTACCCACACATACATACAAACTGATGTTGCTTTAAAGATTTTTTTAAACAATTAATAAATGATGCAGCTAATTTCCTCTGAAATTTGTTGTTCAAATGTTCTTGAGTTTTTCAAGTACATGACAAAAATGAAAAGAATCACTATAAATAGAAAAATTTAATTCCGTTTCTAAAGTTTCACAACTTTATTCACACGAATGGAGGATCTTTATTTTCATTAATGTGCTGCTTTAATAATTTTTGGTGAAGAACCTTCGAGAATGGACTCCATTCTTCCACCCCTTCTAAATCTGAGTGCACTGCTTTAGATGTGATTTGGCCCATCCCAATGCCTCTGGGCCACTCTTACTGTGCAGACAGAACTAAGACTGGGATGTCCTGGGAGGGGACAGATGAAATTCCAGGTAGGCCCCTCAGAGCAGCAGGGCCTTGTAAGGCAGGGCTGCTCCTCCACCTGAGGGCCCAGCCTCACAACTTGGTCAGCATAACCAGAGTGGACCAGAGTGTGGACTGAAGTCCTCTAACCAAACTGTGATGGTTTTAAACTGTCTTCAAATCCATGAGACCCTCCCATCAAAATGGTGGAGTGACTCAAGTGGTAGTATGCCTGCCTAGCAAGTGTGAAGCCTTGAGTTAAAAAAAAAAACAGTGGTGTGAATATTTTCTATTTGCTTCAGTGTAGAAAAGTGATTCCCCCTTGCTTTTAAGACTGGACTTTTAAAGGTGACACCACTTTACCTGGCACTCTCACTCCCCTTCTAGGAACACCTTCTGTACATGTAGGTCATTTTCTGACTCTGCCTCTCTTAGAGATGGGGATTCTCAGGTGGCTTCAGCCTGTTTCTATGGCCCATTTCTTTGATGGGTGGATGGACACAACCTTCTACTCTAGCTTCTTGTGTGCTGATTCAGTATGAGTGTCCATGTGTCCGCCCTGATCTGCTCCTCAGGATAGGATGAAAATTTCTGTTGGCTCTGCCTAATTCAGGGTGCAGGCTCTTCCTTTACAGCTCTGTCTTCTCAGAAAATGTCTGGAGCCTTTTCCTCTTTTCTTGATAAGTGCCCAGAGCTGCTGAAAGGCAAGCTACTATGATTTGGGTCAGTGTACCCCAAAAGTATTTGGTCTCCAGGGTGGTGTGGCTTGAAGGTGTTGCAGACCTTTAGAAGTTCTACTAGGTTCCACTAGGAACTTCCTAGTGGAAGGCCCTTTGATAACTGAGGCATGCCCTTGGAGGGTACTGGGGGGCTCACTGGTCAGTCCTGTCTATGTGTCCCTGACTCATGATGTGCTCTCACCATGATGTTCCACTCTTACCAGAGGACCAAAGCCATGAGGCCACACAGTCTTGAACCGGAACCTCTAAAATGGGGAGCTAAAATAACTTTTTCTCTTTATAAGTTAACTACCTCAGGAATTCCACTACAGTAGTGCACAGGCAACTAATACATAAGGTGAACATAAACCAGTGCTACCCATTAGGACTTTGTGCAATGACAGAAATGTCCTGCATCTGTACACTCCAACATTGGTAGCTGTTAGGTATATGTGGCTACTGAGCATTTGAAATGTGGCTACCGCAAATAAGATACAATTTTTGTTGTATTTGATATTATTTAATTTGAATTTAAAGTCAATATATGGCCATAGATTGCATTTCAGACCACATGATGCAGGCAGTGAATTCTCTGCCTCTTCAAAAACAGTTTCTATTTGAGTTGCTTTCCACTCTGAATCTCGCCTGTGCCAAGGTGGCTTTCCTTTTTACTTTCTATTTCAAGGATTCCTTGTTCTTCCATCTTGTCAGTCATTCTCTATGAAGTTTGTCTCTGCCCAGTTCCCTCCTCTCATCTAGCATCTGGAAGGAAACACTTGCTCTACAAAGAAACTAAAGTTGGAAATTTTTCTCCCACTTTGGAGTGTACTGGAGGAAGGGTGAGTGTGCATACAGGTTTTCTGTAAGAGAATGAAGTAAATAATTAGAATCAACCAAAAAGTGTCAGGATATATCATTGTCACCCTTCATTGCAAATTCTAGTTTAAAGGAGGGGCTCCATTTTGGCTCTTTTTTGGCTGACTACTGATTTAAGAATCTAGAATTGTGAGCTTTGGAATAAGGGTAGAGAGTTCTTTTTAAAATGTACACTTTCTAGATCCCAATTCCAGGTGACCTTACACCAAACAACAGCAGTCTAGAAATCAGTATTTCTTGAACATCCTGCAGAACTTTTAAATTGAGCCTTGTTTGGGAACCGCTGTAATCAATACACAGACACACTTGGAGCTTTTAAATTGGCCCACTCCATCTAATCTCCATAGACAATTCTGCTTTTCAAATGCTTACATCCACTTTTTTTCAGTTTTTCTCTCTTCATTCCTGCCACCTCCAATTTCTTGCCTCCTCTATCCTCAACACTGCTCCTAAACACACAAATTGGCTTTTCAAAGTGAGAAAAAGGCGCATAGTCATTGTATAAAAAGAAACAAAAACAAACAAACAAAAAAACCCACTATACACAAAGAGCTGAGGTTTCCTTCTTTCTCTAGAGTGTCCTGCAATGTATTGACTTTGTGACATGTGGTTTACTAACTTTTCTTTCTAGGAGTTTTGCCCTTTTACCTTCCACTCTAAAAACAGTCTTCCTTTTCTTAGGTAAATTTTGCTTGCCAGTGCCCACAGTGTATTCATTAATAATTTTAAATTGTTATAAATTCTAACTTGGCATTGATTCTCATATTTGCTTCATCACCTCTGCTTTAGCATTGCCAAGCATAAATGGTCTAGATATTGTATTAAAAAATAACTCCCTCTGGACAGGCTGGAAGTCATTGGCAGGGGATTACATCTATCTATGAATATTTCTCTTAAGAAATTAGCAGTCTTCATGGCAGACAAGAATTTTGTCCCAGGAGATCCATAATGTCCAGCATTATGTAAAGGATAAGAGAGATCAATGGCTCTCGCTCACTTAATAGAATTCAGTCAATAAAAAGAGTGGATGATGCATATATGGCACATATGAAATTTATTTCTAACCAAAGAGGACCAACAGAAGCTTGCAGTTTGGGGAGACTTAGAAACAATTCAAATTATATTGGGGAAGATGGATGATGCATTCCTAAACATCTTGGTCTTAGAAATTAAAAATACTCTTTCCACCAGTTGTTGCTCCTTTTTTTGAGAATGTTTGGAGGGGGTGGCAATCACATAGCTGATGAAATTGCTCTTAGTGACATTAGATTCCATTAGAAAGGGCTTGCATGTTGGTTGAACATTGCAATCTGTTAAGTCCCCTCTTCCTTAATCCACCCATTACCATGTGTCATCCACCCATTACCATGTGTCAGTAGTGCTTGGCAAGGATTTCTGATGCTGCATAATTTGGGTGATCTTTACTGCAAGCCTCGAATCCTAGCCTCGAATCATTTTCCAATTTCACCTTCTTAGAACATTTCAGTCCACCTTGGCCCAGGATGCCTCCATAGGGCCACGCCCACCGCGCGGGAGCCCCTGGAAGTCAGCTGTCCGTAGACCGGCTGGAGCCCGGCCCTGCCCAGCGGCCTTCTGGGAACTGTAGTGGGAGCATCTCGCATTCTCGCTGCCATGGCAGGATGTAGGACTACAAGTCCCAGCAGGCCTCGCGCGACGCGCCCGCGAGAAGGAGGGCGAAGGCGCCCTAGGCGCGTCGCGAGCTGGCCGAGGCGGCTGAGGCGGCGGCGGCTGGCGGGTGGCTACTGACTACTGGCTACTGGCGACATGGATAACGCAGGGAAGGAGCGAGAAGCGGTTCAGCTGATGGCGGAGGCCGAGAAGCGAGTTAAGGCCTCCCACTCGTTCCTCCGAGGGCTATTCGGGTGAGTTGCCAAAGTGCGCGTGCCCTAAGGGATACCATACCAGGTTCTCAGTGTCTGCCACCGCAGAGTCCCCTATACACCCTCTGGGTACCCAGAACTCTCCTAGAGTCACTCCGGTCCCAACGCCTTCCACAGACCCTCCTCGGGCACCCAGCACTCCCTGGAATCCCCCAGAACGCGCCTAGGCACCCGATGCGCCCTCCAAAGACCCTTGTGCGTTTCCAGCTACCCCTTGGATCCTTCAGAAAGCTCTCAGGCCTGCAGCCCCCACGTATCCTCCAGAGACCCTCCTAGGGCTCACAGCTTCTCCCGCATCCCTTGGGATCTCCAGAGCCATCAACACATCCCACTGGAGGCCCCAGAACCTTTTAGGGGCGTTCGTCCGCACGTCCCCTACGGAGACCTCCGGGTCCCCCCACACCCCTTGCGCCCGCTCTGCCCTCGTGTGTGTGTGTGTGTGCGCGTGTGTGTGCGCGCGAGGGCCCCACACCCTGGCTAGCTGGTCGGCTCCTCCCGATCCCGGCCTGCGGGGTCCCCAGTCCCCAACGATCGGATTGGTGCATTTCACCGGGTTGGAGCCCGCATCGTTCGGGAGAACCTTGTCGGGGGAGGGCCGGTTCTCGCGGGCTTGGGCAGACTGGCCCTGGTCCAGGCACCTTGAGACTAGTAGACCTTTAGCAGATGGATGAAAAGACTTTTTTCCTCAGCATTATGCTCTTCCTTTGCCAGAGTTTGATTTATACCCGGGCCTGCAGTTTGATTAAAGATAACACAGCACCTATTTTAAGTCAAGCATCTTTGGGAAATCCCGTTAATTTCCTGTAATTCTTCCATTCTGTTTTAGGGAAGGTTTTTAATTCCAAGCTCTCAAAAAGCAAAGCCTACCCTGACAGCTTGTAGAAGAATTCTGGGCTGTTGATTATGTGAATGATTCAGCTGTTTATGATGAGAGCGACAAAAATTTCGATCTTTCCTTTTGAAGTGAAAGATACTGTGCTGTCACCACCAGCAAAATTTTATTCTTGAGAAGAACCAGTGACAGATACATAACCATTGCATTATTTGACACAATATTATTTCTGTACTAATTCAGTTTGAACTCTCATTTCACGAAACACACCCAGTCAGCTTTTGGCTGGTTTTGCCAACTTCATTCTTTTGGCTATAAATTATAATAAAGTATTATATAATATTTTAATGATGAACATTTACGGATACATCTCCAGGAAATGCTTATGGGCAGGTTTCACACAGTGTGTGGTACTGTGGGCTGCAAAAATACACAAAGATAAGCATTCCTGTCTTTCAGGACCTTTTGTTGATACTGGGGTTTGAACCCAGGGCCTTGAAGCTGGCTTGGCAGGCACTCTACTCCCTAAGCCTGGCTCCCAGCCCTTAGTTTCTAAATTTCCCATGTAATAAGTAGCTTGAAAATATAGCTGTGAATTACAAATATTGTTTCCCTTTTTAAAGCTATAAGGACCATTGCCTAGTAATAATGCAGATACCAAATGGTAATTCTTTTTCTGATTCACAAAACATTTAAAATTCATTCATATAAAATTTAATGTCATAACACCTCATGGCAGGAGGATATCTTAATGTTACAATGTATTTCAAATCAGGATATGCTTCCCTGAAGTAGAGAGTAACTAGCTGAGGGAAAAACATTTGATAGTACTGGATGCTTATCTCAGGAACACTCTTTTGGTCAAGGGGTGTTTTGTTGTTTTGGAGAAGATAGGTCAAATCGTTAGCTAATAATCCTAAAAGGATTTTGAGGAATCCTTGTTTTTAAAGAAACATCTTGAGTGTTGCTGGCCTACATCATTGACAGGCCATACAGAAATACAGTCATTATCTTCACCCTCTGTTTGCACAATAGTCATTGTGTTCTAGGTCTAGCCTGAATGTAGCAGGTCAGTTTATTATCCCAGTTTTGGGACCTGGAGCAAATTAGCTTTGATTCTCTGATATTCAGCCTCCTCTGCTATATAACAAGGGGTACTAGTAGTACATCTCATAATTAGTGAGGGTTCCATGAGTTTATGTTTGTCAAACATTTAGAACTATTGATGTTGGAGATAATGGTTATCAGATATTAATTTTCAAAATTGTCAGTTCCAGTTATTATTTATCAAGGAACCAGATGGCCAGATGAATTAAGTGACGTTTCCAGGATTCAGAGCCAAAGACTTGATCAATGGTCTTTTAATGAAATAAATACCTGAAAGAGCTTTTACCCAGTAAAAGCACCTTTTAAGTGTTATTTATGCTCTTAAGAATTGTGTTGTTTCCAGGAACACTTGTCTCCTGGAAAGCTTGAAGAAGAGTACTGGAGTTCCGTGAGTTTTAATAATAATATATAATTACTTGGAGCCAAAAGCCAGACCTATTTTTCTGTGAGGTACAACGGGAAGACTTAAGATTTTGTATCAGCTTTAGATGCTTGGTATCCTGTGTTATATATGGCATCACATGCACCTGTAATCACTTTCTAGGCTAGAGTATGTGTTACTCTACCCTGCCCCCTTTCTAGTTATCCTTTATTTACAATAGCATAGTCTGTCCCATGTCAGATTCCTGAATTAACAACACAGAATTAGCACAGCACACATATTGACTGAGGATCTTAAAAGCTGATCAGCTAATGTTGTTAAGGGGTCAGGTGATACAATCTTAAAGATGTGGCAGCCATTAAGAAGTGTTTGGGCTGGGTGCTGGTGGCTCACACCTGTAATCCTAGCTACTCAGGAGGCAGAGATCAGGAGGATCATGGTTGGAGTCCAGCCTAGACAAATAGTTTGCAAGACCTATCTCGAAAATACCCATTACAAAAAAAATGGAGCTGGCGGAATGGCTCAAGGTGAAGGTCCTGAGTTCAAGCCCCAGTATTGCCAAAAAAAGAAGGAGATGTTTGGCATATTGCGTTTCGCATCGTAGATATTCTTAACATCCTAACTGCAGATTAAAGCTTATCATGAGTTCATCTCCTTTACTCTATTCATCTCCCACTCACACTGGTTTTGTGGCAGTACTATATTCTCCTTACTGTTCTATAACTGATTTTTTGTTATTACTTTCAGTAAAATTAGTTGAAAATATGCATGCATATTCACAAGAAAGGGTGAAATATTTTATATGTGAGGCACAAGACCCATTTCTTGTCAGCTTGGTAGGCAAGATGTACCTCTTCTGGTGCCACTCCCTCAAAAAAAATACCTGACAAGGAAAGCAAACATTGTAAGAACCACTACTACTATTGTTTTGGGGTTTTTTGTGTGTGTGTGTGACTACTGGTTAGTTAAATAGCAATGTAGTTTGTAGCTGTGGGATCAAATTAAATCTTACCTTTTTTAGCAGGCATAGTGTAGTATAGTAAAACTAGAAAGAGTTGTATTGTTGTTTAGTTCCTTGCCAGGATGAGGTATGGAATTTTGTAGCTAATTTCAAATTCTAATTTAGAATCTTAATGAAGTGCTAGTATGATCTTAAAGTGGCCTACAGTCTGACAATAAGATAGTTTTGAATTGCAAAGAAATCTTCATTGTCTTCTCCATTTGTTGCTAGGAGACCAGAAATTGGGGATAACCTGCACAATGCACACCTAGGAAAGTGGTTCTTAAGAGCAGCAGTTGAAAGATGTTACTGATGGTTAATGCTATCTTCCCTTTTCATTGTTCTTCAATCTCCTCTAGCTCAGAAAAGAGCTAAAAATCTGGCAGTGTCAAAGCAAATTTAATGAAGTATCCTATTAAGTTATCTTGAAGTAATCATGAATCTGTAACTTACTAGCTATTTGTAAAAGTTGGGAATATTTCTTAAGCATTGTAAGCTGTTAATTATCAATGTTCACTTGGCTTTATTTCAGTGAAGACTGTTTCTACATTTTGCGAAAATATGGGGTCATGTGATTACCTTCATAAAGCAGTCTTTCTCAGTTATTATTAATATTCAAATGCAAATTGAACTTTTTACAAAAACCATTAGGCTAAGATTTGCTTATAGAGACAAGTGGTATAGTTTAAGAAATATATATTTCTTACAGAAATTAAAATAATCTATATGAATAATTGTTTATATATGTTATATAATATAATGTATACTTTTATGTATGGGAAAGCAAAACATAGACTCTGGTCTTTCATTTACTATTTTGGTGACTATAGCCAACCAAGTAAGTCATACTTAGGGAGTTTCTGTTTTTAATTTTGTTTCTTAAACTTTCAAATGGGCAGAAGGATAGAATGTACTTTTTAGAGTTGTTAGGATTGAATGAAGTGTCACAATGCTTATTCAGCACAGAGCCATATTGCTGTTAATTGTAATCATTTAGTTTTTTTATTTTAAGTTGTTATAGGTTGGTGTCAAATGATAAACCCAGCTTAGCTTTTTTTCTGTTTGCATTTTTGCAGTGTTCACTGTATTCTGTCTTTCTTGTGAGAGTTGCTTAGAGAAGGTAGGGAGCATGTAGTGGGTGGCTCCTCAGCAGTGTACCCTGTTTTGTTACTGTAGTCCAGCACCTCACCCAGCTAGTGGCATGCAGTAGGCAGCTGGTGTTTTTTTGATGGAGAGCCTGAATATATTAGTAGTCATGCAAATCCTGATTTTTTTTCTTTTACTTTTGTTTGGTAAAAGAGCAAAAGTAGGGCTGGTGAGCTGCTCAAGTGGTAGAGCTGCCTGCCTAGCAAACATGAAGCCCTGAGTTCAAATCCCAGTTCTGCAAAAAAAAGAGCAAAAGTATGCAAAGTGAAAGTTTTCATGTCATTTTCTTCTGTATTTTATTTAAATTTGCATTTATTATAAACCTAGTAGCTGCACATGGTAGAAAAGTACAAGAAATACAGAAGATTTCAGTTAAACAGTAAATTTTTCCTGTCTTCCCTCTTTTTTTTTTTTTTTGCAGCACTGGAGTTTGAACTCAGGACCTATACCTTGAGACATTCTACAAGAATTTTTTATGATAGGCTTTTTCAACATAGGGTCTTGCTGAACTGTTT